CTAATCATGCACCTATTTATCTAGAAAGCATTGACCCACGCCCTAATTTCTCCGAAATTGATTTACACTTCATTCTCATTTTGGCATTATCAATATCTAGTCAATCTCCTCAATTACACTGTAATCCCCTTGAGTTCACTTCGATCTCCAATCAGCTGGCCAGTTTATCAACTAGACTAGTTTAGCTCATTTTACCTGTTTTACCTAATAAATTGATTAAGTATAGGAAATCAAGTCAAGACATAAAACCAAAGGATAATTCAAATAATAGATTTGAAATAATGCAATTCATCATAAATAACAGATAAAGAAATGATACTTTTGATGACAAATCACCAACCAACGAACCAAAAATTTGAACCTTTTTTAACCGAAACTTAATTTGTTAAGTGGTTACTATTTTGTATTATCAAACAAACTTATTTGAAAAAACTCTGAATACTTTCATTTTGAGCACTTAATCCTGTTATCAAACACCCTTTACTAGTATTTATAGTGGTTAGTACTCTTTTCTAGGGTTTTTATCGTTGGCTATGCTAGGTAACATACCAATTTTTTAGTCAAATTTTCCTTAATTAGTGCAAAAGTCTAAAAAGACTTCATTTCTTACTCACCGATTCTTTATGTCACATGTGTTCTAATGTGCACCAATGATCTAGGCAATTTTCTTATCGGTTATTTAGCACTGTTCCTGGTTATTTTGGTTCTCCTAGCTACCTTTTCGCTCGGTCTTTGATCTTTCTCAGTGTCTAGGTTTCATCTTGTCAACTGTCTCGGATTTTTAGAGATGACTTAACTATCTATTCTTGTTCAGATATATCACATTCTCCAAATAATAGAATCAAACTACTGTTCGAATTCTAGTCTCGTAGATTCTATTTTTTAGCATATCTCATCTCGACCTGCCTCTTCTAGACACACACTTCTTTGCTTTGGAATACTTTCCTCCAAGCAGACCAGTTTCTGTAGAGTTACTTCATGTTCGGGTTCCTATTCAATTTGTGCGGCTGGGGCCAAAAATCTATTCGACTTAGCACTACCCTCGCTTGAGCGCATCTTGTTTGGTCATGGCTGAGTCAAACAATTTTAGCACGAGACTATGCCATGTGTTTTTATTCCAGCTGGCACATTATGACTAAGAGATTTTAAACCCCAATGAGTTAACTCACGTGTTCAAAGAAATTATCGTAATTTAATAACTAAATTTAAAAGAATGATACTTGGACAAAAAATTTAAAAACACAGTAGTGTGATTTTTCTACTGTATTCTCACCAACAATTTAAAAATGTCAATGGTCAAGCTGCCTCCACAATAAACGCGGAAACGGAATGTCCACGTGCACTACCAAGAGTATCTAACACAAAACTATCCGACGAAAGAGTGATGAAATATAGAGATGAGAGAGGTTTTCGAATGGTTTTTTAAGGACACGTGTTATGAGAACGTTGAAGCCTTGCAGGATCCAGCTGTTTTGCTGAACTCTTTTAAGTCTCCCATAATTACCAAACATGCTTCTCTCAAATACATTATTTTCTTGTGCTGGGATTTCAGAGCACCTATGACACCGACACTTCGTACTTTGATATTTAGTATTTACTTTCAGAGAGAAGCAAGTGGATGAAATAAGGTACGATGGATAGCTGGGAATAGTATTGTGCTTGAACTTTATATTATTAAAATTTGAATATTAGTCGTCTAATATTTATACTTTAAATAAAAGTACAAATAATAAAATCATAAGGGTATTTGTAGAAGATTGCATCATATACGATAACTAGTAATAGTCTTATGTTTGAGGATACTTTATAATACCAAAAATTAAATATTGATCATGTATTTTTAATAAAAATATATTTTATATATTTTTTTAATTATGTAATTTAAAAATAAAGTGAACAGAGAGAAATAAGTGAGAAGTAAAAGAAACACGAAATAGAGGTAGATGTGTTTTAATGAAGTTGTTTGGCATTAAGGAGTATATTTGTTGAATTGTCTGACATTGAAGGCTATGCAAAAAAAATAATATTTTTGAGCGAAAAAAAATTTGAGATGAATTGTATACCATTAGATCAAAGTAGATCAAGATTGAATCAATCTTTAATGTTGTTGTAATTTTAAAAATTGAGAATTCAACTTATTAGATGGATAGATATGTGGATTAACATCGACTCGGAGCTAGATTTTATCAACTCATTCAATATTAAGTTATACAATCCAATTTATTTTTTTTGGTCCTTAAATATATGTATGTACGTGTGTATGTATGATAATTTATAGTTAATTATATCATATTTAATACTTAAAATTTTATACAGACTAATTAAAATTATTTACAATTAACTCCGTTGAATTTTCATCCTTGGAAACTATTGCGTAACAACTTTATTATTCTTTATATACACAATTATGTTATCATTTTGGTATTTATCACTCATTCAATTATGCAATTTAATGTGCAATCTATAATACCTATCGTAATTAGTAAAATAAATGTCAAAATCATAAATAAACTAGCGAATACAAAATTTTCTTTTGAGAGAACTTGCCCAACCTGCACCAGGCTTAACTCCGCCCGTGCTTGTTGTGTGACATGATTTGATAAAGAAGTAAAACAAACAAAATATAATTTGAAGATAATTTATTGATCCAATCTGAGAATCTAATCTAGTATTGTCATGTTGGACCTATTAGTATTGAGACTATGTACCAAAATAAAAAATTAGTATTGAGATTCACTACTAAGTTAATGTGAGCAGTGAATTAGGTTGCTTATATGTGTTTAAGTAAAAACAAGGAGCAAAGGAGAAATCAAAATTCTATATTGTTGATTTATTGCATCACTGTATTCCAAAGTTATGGCATAGCACGCAAAATATTTACCGAATGCATATGTATGTTATTGAAAAATAGGTACCCGTGCAACTTTTTTTTTTTTTTTCGTAGTTAAACCGTGAGTTATTGTCAATAATATTTAGCGTGATTAGCATATAATTATGATTAAAATATTCACCGTAAATCTAAGTCGGGAGCTTTGTGTTTTACCAGACAAATGTTTGGATGACAGCAATTTTAATTGGGAATGAATATTTATTTTTAGTATATATATATATTTTTTTGGGGAGGGAAAAGGAAGGGGGAGAGAGACTTGAACCTTTGACCTCAAGAAAATAAAGCCTTTACAAGACAAGGAATACTATTGGACCAAAGATCCATTGATTTCTTAGTATACTCAAGTTTCAATTACCGTAGTAATCTTATATTTAGTGATGGTAATTTTAGAAGGAGAACTTAATTTTTGAAATGAAATTAATTTTAGGAAGGAGTTTTATTTTGGAATTTTTATTTCTTTTGTAGAATATTCAATCAATGTAATTATGAGATTATCACCATTGATCATGAGTTTAGGATAAATACAATTATTAGAAATTGAATTATGGTAGTAATCTTATTTCCGTGTTAGATTACTAAATAATTGACTCTCAAAATATTATAATTTAAAATTTAGAAATGAAAATCTAATTCTAAATTAAAATTACCATCAGCTAAGAGGGCTTTAAGTCTCTTGGGTACAAGTGTCAAGGTTGTCTCCAAAACTGTCTTTCCTAATTGTTTTTTAATTCCACTTTTTCAAAGGATGCATAACAGAGAAAGTAGTCTATGCTTGGCAGGTACGACTACGACCTGAGAGTGTAAGTCGCACAGAAAATATTATACATTCACACATAAAACCATACTGTCAAAAATAAACTCAAAACATTATACATTTGAATGCATGTCTGATAAATAAAATTTGCGAGACTTGAAACTGTTAGGTTGTGTCTGATGATCACTGAAAATTTTATGCGCATGAGAATGGTGAAAGCTTATAGAATCTGTCAAATACATGGATGATAAATTTAGGATAAAGAATCTAAGGGTAAGCACTTGAAGAAAACAAGAATGAATTTCAGGTGGTCCCACGCACATTTGAATAAATTAAACCGCGTCAATAAACAGGAAACACCGCCTACCAACTTCATCCATGACTTCCAAAAAAAACTTAATTAAATATTATCTTTAAGTAAAAAACAAATAATTTTGCCACAAAAATGAACTTATGTTTAATTATTATTTTGTAAAAGTGATTTTTTTTTTTGGAGGAGAAGTGGGGAAGGAGACTTGAATTCTTGACCTTAACAAGACAAAATTTTTATAAGATAAGGAGTACTATTGAATTAAATACCCATTAATTTGTAAAATTGATCTAAAAGCCACTTAGCATATAAATAAAAACTTACTAGCTGACTGCAATTTGAACTTTGTCCATCCCATTCCGCCCCAAAAAATCACCTATCAATTAAGTAAATTTTGAGGAGAATTGGATTAGCGGAGTGTTTCTATTGAATCAATGATTTTGTAATTGAAAAAATAACAAATCTAAGAATTGAGAGATTAGGTAGGGAAGGCTTTACAAGACTCCTCCCTCTAATCCTAATGCTATGACAATAAAGGAAAGTATACGTGCATTTATTACTATACATTTGATTAATATCAGAGGAAAGAAATAAGTCCTGAGATGGAAAAAAACAAAAAAGAAAAAGCATAAATGTAAAAATAAACATTGCTTTAAAAATACTTATAAAAAAAAAAATTTAAAAATTGATTCCAAATAGTACCTGAGTTAAAAATAACATGCCATAACCAACATTTAAAAGATTATTATACAGTTAAAGAGAAGGAAGAAAAATCCCTCAAATGCTAAAAACCTGTAACGCACATTCCCTGATCACAAATATCAGCTTATCAGGACATTGACCTGTTTGTCCCACTTCAAATAATTTTATTGACGTTGAAACTACTTGGAAGCTCCCTTAATCTTATGTTATAGTACCACGTAATCATCATACTTGGAACGATTTCACTAAATCCACATCTATATATACATGCCTGGATCACACTGTCTCCTCCCTCAAAAGTTTCTTCTAGTTCCACTATTTTGCTTTAGAGAACTTAAAAATACATGGAAGAACAAAGTAAGAATCATGGTGGCCTAACATCGGCCTACCGTGGTGTCAGAAGGAGGAAATGGGGGAAGTGGGTGTCCGAGATACGCGAGCCTGGCAAGAAAACCCGAATTTGGCTAGGGAGTTTCGAGACCCCTGAAATGGCTGCCGCTGCATATGATGCAGCAGCATTGCACCTCAGGGGACGTGGGGCGAGACTAAATTTTCCAGAATTTGTGGATAGTCTTCCTCGACCAGCAAGCTCAAGTGCTGAAGACATACGCTTGGTGGCTCAGGAAGCCGCTTTGCTTTTCAAAACGCCCATGGGAGAGCCCGAGGCAGGTAGCTCGAGCTCAAAACCTGTTCCTGTAACCATAGGGCTCTCCCCGAGCCAAATTCAAGCCATTAATGACTCCCCACTGGATTCGCCAAAAATGTGGACCGAGTTGGGTATTGCCCGTATGTTGGAAGAGCCTATGATTCTTACAGTTACCGACGAGGTTGAAATGAGTGACTGGGAAGAAATACCTGATGATTCCCTTTGGGACTAGCTCCTTGGTAAAACAACCATGACCAAACTATTATTGCCTAATTATAATTTTGTACAACGTAGTTCTCACATTACTAAAAGGGTTTGGGTGAGAGAACATTGGCTCTTATTGACTGATTTTTATGTTGGTGCTGACTTTCACTACGTTTTCCATAAAGAAATAATTATTATTTCCAAAACCCCTTAATATATATGTATATATATATATATATGCTAGTGTTTAAAAACTTCCCCATAGTTTATTGCATTGTGGTCTTAAAATTTTTCCAACTAAGGCTTTCGGAAAGTATTGTGTTTTGTGATATCATTCTTAATACTCGTATGTAACATGAATCAAATTGTTTTGATTGTTCATGAGGCCAAATCGACTCAAAGCACTTGATTTAGCCATCTGATTTCTAGTGGCAAGGACAACCATCTCAGCTCATGGCAGGGGTTTTTAGTCCTTATGGCCTGTACTTTATCTCGTATAAGATGTTGAAGTGAAAATGTGGGCATAAGAATTGATATCTGTCCTTTTGTAATGACATTTATATTTCGATTTCATGCATATTGTAGAGTTCGCACATACATTATAATATCTGCTTTTATTCACCGTTGCAATCAGGTGTCGATCGCTCAAACACTTTCTCACTGTTCATATTATATATATATATATATATATATATATATATAGAAAATTTCAATCACACCCCTTTTAATTTATCATATCTTCAAAGACCCTCCCTCTATTTTTTGGATTTTCACTGAACATCCTCCGTCAAGTTAAATGTGTTAATTAGAATACAATTTTACTAAATTACCCATGGTATATTTTAGGAAAAACTTCATCCACAATCCCTCTATATATGCATATCTTCAATGAGACCCCCCATCTATTTTCTAATTTTTTTTACGTATTAAAATTTGAATGGATTAAAATTTAATCAGTTTGAATCGAATTTTAATTAGATCAAATTTTAATATGTAAAAAAACGAATTTTAATCAACTTAAATTTTAATATGTACAAAAATAAATTTTAAATTAATCTTATGTAGAAAAATTGTTTAGGTTTATGTATGGGTAATTTTGGTATTTTAAATAATTTTTTTTGTTAGAAACAGTAGTTTAAAGACAGGGGGTGTTAGTGATGTTTAAATATAAATTACAAAGGGTGTCAGTAATGTTTTGAATAATAGAGGTAGTGTCTTTAAAAATATGATAAACTAGAAGGGGTGTGACTGAAAATTTTCATATATATATATATATATATATATATATATATATCATTTTTGTTGAGATTTGACATTAGCGGTGCTTGACATTCTCACCTAAAGTCAAATTAGAAAAAGGGGGAGAGTGCATATTAATGCCCATAGTGGAATGGCCCTAGCTAGAGGAAGTGAAAAAGTGTTTCCAGTAAATGAGGAATTAGTCACTAATATAATGCGCCATATTGAGTTCAATTAACCAATTAATAAATCAATTATTTAGTATAGGCAACCAAAAATTGCATTTAAATATGTAAAACAATTGAGATTGTCTCTAAATTGGATATCATGACTCCAATAGTAAATCGCAAAACTATTATCTGGTAAATCTTTAATACGACCTACAAGATGGTTAATAGGTCTGTTGCAGAATCAATTATCAAATAATAAATATGTGACCTACTCTCGCCAATTCAAGCACTTATGTTGATATCAAAACATTCGATTAAGCAATCAACAAACATGAACCAATCATAAAGCATATGTCATTTATCAATATTAGATCACACTCCTCTTATAACATTTTTGACTTGTTCAGTTCACAAACTTAATATTCCTCCTTGAAAATCAACCTCAACTTGAACTTTTTTATTTTTGAGAAAGGAATAACTATGATGTTTTGTGATCAACCTAGAAGGGATATTCTCAAGTAATACTCTTCGATGTAGGTAGTTGATCTCTCAAGATATAGAATACCCATATAATCTTTTGAAAATTAAAACACTAAAAAGAGAGGACAAGGGATTTTAATCAAAAACTGACAAAATCTCAATAAGGTGTAAGATTTTTCACTAAAAAACAAGAACTCTTTTTTCCTCTAGGAAAACTCTCTTCATAAACAACTTGAAGTTCATAAACAACTTGAAGGACAATTGCAGGGAAACGGGTAGAAGTAAGGGCCAAATAAACAAAAAGGGGATAACGAAACTAAATCGTTGGTTTATGCACAAATACCAATTGACATTCTTACTCTAGAGCTGTTAATTCACAAGAATACCATTTCTAAAGGCATCAGTTGATTTGTTGATTCGTACGAATACCAGAATAATTGGAAAGAAGAAAATAAAGCTCTCTCAATATTATTAATCAATTCAAAAGCTCTTGAGCCCCAAGGCTTATAAGAGTTTATATAATAGTAGAAACCCTAAAACCAATTAAGAAAATAGAATCATAATTACATTAGGAAACAAAACAAAATAAAATCCTAAATGAATCAAAAAATAAAATAAAATAAATTTTTAATTAAAATAAGAAATAAAATAATTTTCTAATTAAAAAAATAAATAAAATAAAATTTTCTAAAATTCTATAGTTGAATGACATTAATCACATTCAAATAAAGTATTAAAATTATCGCCACCCATATTGCATCATCCTCATCAAATTAAAAGAATTCGCTATTGAATTCAGCTTCGTTTGAATTTAGGTTTTCGACTGTGCAAAAATTTAAACCCCTTAAATATTCTGAACACTTGACCTTCAATGACTTGCAGACGAATTGTAAAGCCAATCTGAATGGACTTTACTCTTCCATTGACACCAGACTTCCAAGCAACCCAAAAATCCAGAGTCATTGAATAACTACCCACTTGACCAAGAGGTTGAACCACATAATCCATGTGTCCATGGGGTACATCCACAAAGACAATCCCAATCACCTTTTTGATTAACGAAAAATTTGAATAACAAGCATTGGCTACCTTTGGAACCAATTAGCTAAATGATTTCATGGATCGTGCACATATTTGTTAAAGACACCGACAAAGCTCCTCATTGATGATTGTACCTTGTCATCTATCCATAGCAACTTCCTAGTCAGTTTCCTTGACCAATAGATACAAGATATCTAAACATGATTCTCTTGATTCTTGATACACTATGGGATCAAGGCACGACGTTGAAATAATTTTCACCATATATAAAAATAAACCCTTCTTTTGCCTGCATACCAGCAACAACAATTTCGTGGCTCTCAAATACCTCATCGTTCAGATGAGCGACGACAACATTATCATTGTCCACGTTCTCACTACTATTTACACCTTTGCTAGTGTCTAAAGAATCATCATCGGGATATTCATCATATATGGGGGTTTCTCCCAATTAATTTTTGATTGTAGAGAAGATGAATCACTATTAAAAAATAATTTTTCGAACTTCATATCAGGAACTGAAAATATTGACATGAACTTAACTGAGCTTGGATACAAATTAATGCCGGGCAGCGTGGGTAAAGAAACGAGATTAAATAACAAAAATTGTAATCTATTGATTATGGCAATAATTCTAGATTAAAGTCATCAAAAGCCTTGTTAATTCAGAAAGAATACTAAGTCAAATGAAAAAAAAGAGAAATATTTCTCCGTTTATTTAAACAAAACCAAAGCTACTGAATTAGTCTTACATATTTCTTTAAATACTAAACTCTAGTAGTCCTAAATTACTAGAAAACCACAGCAAATTATGAAATGTTAAATAGATATCTCAAACAACGGGATATAATATAAAAGTGATAAAAAAATGGCCAAAACATCATTTTTTGGCTTAAAAACAATGGGTTTAAACATCCATTTCAATTTGCTCGGCTCGTCGATAGCTTTCTGCAATAGGGTTTTAATAAATTTTCTGACATTGTCAGCCCCGATTGACATCCGATAAGCGCAACTTTCGATGATCTTAATCTGCCATTTAATTTTTTTTTTCGTGCGCTAAACGTGCTGCATCAAGGACTCTCTCTGGAAAACGTCTCCAAAGACTCTCTCTGGCCTCCTAGAGAACTCACAGGGATTTTATATTTATAGAGAAAAGAAATTGTACACAAGTTTCAGAAGAGTTCTATTTAAAATAGGCAACGTTGTTGTCCTGATGTGCCACAGTCGTTCGAGCATATGAAGTCTCACTCAAGATCCAAGTGAGTGATAAGCCAGCGTAAGCCACTGGAATTGTATCAAAAGAGGTGTTGTAGATATTACCTCTCGCTCGAGCCATAAAGGGCTTGCTCGAAGGATGGATGCAAGTAACTCCAAAATCTAATTTTTTAAAACACATTTTTTCAAAATATTTTTACCAAGATTATTTCTTCTCTTAATTAAATATTTTGGGCCAATCACAAACACGTTACAAAAATAATATTGGAATAAAAAAAGTAAAATCTCTTAGACTCATTTCCACTTGGATCACTAGGTCTCGAAGTCAACTTACAAACCCAAACTGCAACATAAATTTGATGAAAACAAGCTTGTTCAGGACATCTCTCTTTCAAGGAGGCAGTGGGGATTCTACTTCCCTTGGGGATAGGGTAATACAAAAAGGAAATTTATTATGGATTACCAATAAGCCTAAAATGGATTCTTACTAGGTCGATGCCAGAGCGGTTAATGGGGACAAACAGTAAATTTGTTTGCAATATGTCTATGCCGGTTCAAATCCAGCTCAGCCCAATAAACCCAAGAATTCACCAATCTGCCATGAGATGGTATAACCCCCTTTTCCTTCAGAAATACCTGATACTGAGGAATAAAAAAGAATTTAAATTTATGCCATATCCTTATTTCCTTGGGATTATAGTTCAATTGGCTAGAGCGCTGCCCTGTCAGGGCGGAAGTTGCGGATTCGAGCCCCGTCAGTCCCAAAGGATCTAATAAAAACCTTAATTCATCTCTCCCTTTCGCAGGAAAGTAGTCACTACTTTAGCCACAGAAGATGCTTTTTGACCAATAGCTACATAAACACATCAATTCATCTCTCCCTTTCGCAGGAAAGTAGTCATTACTTCAGCCACAGAAGATGCTTTTTGACCATCATAAACACATATTACATTTTGACCTTGTTGATTGAGAATCGTATCCGTGGCTACTGTTGTTTTATTGTTCTGCCGGTCCCCAATAATTAATTCTCGCTGATTGCGTCCTATAAGGATCATCAAATCAATAACAATAAGCCCCGTTCGAAGAGACTCATATATAGAACGGTGCGAAATAATACCGGGAGTGGGAGATTCAATTAACAGAGATTAAGAAGTTGAAATTTCACCTCTACCATCAATAGGTTTGGCTAGGTTTTGACAATCAGTGGCGCATCAGGATCTTGATCTTGCATCTGACCTACACCATGTAGTTACTATGTGATCTATCTTGCACTGTCTTAAATAAAGAAAAACCTTATTCTAAAAAACAATGTCCACCGCTCAATTATGCACTTCGCTTGCTTCAGTTACATTCCATCCTCTAACAACTAAGCTAAGTTAAAGGGGGCTTAATCAATTCACCAGTAGCAGCAACATTGTCAGTTAAGGCTCGTTCTGAAAGAGATATATGTGGAGCTAAAATAATTCACTTAGAACGCTTTTTAAAAGATTACGTGGTATGATTAGATCAAATAAGCCCTTCTGGAATAAATATTCAGTCGCTTGGGAACCTTCAGGTACTGTTTTATTTAATGTTTGTTCACATACTCTTTTACCTGCAAATGTAATGTAGGCATTGGGTTCAGTAATAATGATATCCCCAAACATACCAAAAGTTGCTGTCACCCCATTAGTAGTAGGAGATGTAAGGATTGATACATAAAATAACTTTTTATTTGATTGATAGTTGTATAAAGTAGAAGAGCTTTTGGCCATTTGCATCAAGCTCAAACTTCCTTCTTGCATGCGTGACCCCCGGAAGCACACACTATAATAAGAGGTAGAAATTTCTTAGTAGCGTACTCAATCAAACGTGTGATTTTCTTCCCGACAACGGATCCCATACTACCCCCATAAATTGAAAATCCATAACCCCAAGTGCTATGGGAAAATCGTTTAGTTGACCTAACCTACTTTCGGTCAACTTCAAAATTTTAATTTTCAAACTTAGCCTTAGACCTATAAAATCTTTTACATTGATGTGACTTACAAAATCATTCCAATACGAAAAATTACTAACAACAATCACACAACACAAATAAATGATCTTCATATAGAAAACTCAAACAGGAAAAGGCCACAAAACCTAGTCTAGCCAAACTATCCACTAAATCAATTCATCTTGTACAAGACCAAGAAGACTTTTAGCACAATTGACTACCTCTAGATTGACTCTCTCCTAAATATTTATCCATCTTCTCAGCTCCATAGCAAGCTTCAATCGTCCTCAAGAACCACCACAAATTTAATCCACTATCCACTTTGAGGATACTAGAAATAATATTGAAATTGAATGAAAGGATATCTTTATATCTTGTTTTCAACAAGGGTCCAATAACAAGGTCTGTCTCCCTACTTCCAATTGCATATTCAGCTTAGGTAAAATTGTCCAGGTTGTCCACATACAACCTCAGATAAAGGTATTCAGGTTGTCTATATCAAATCATGAGGAAGTACAATATTTCCAGCTCAAGTCTAAAAAAAGGAACGAGCTCCATTATCCACGGGTTAACCAAAGGAACAAGATGTCGACTCAACTAGTATGACCTCTCACAGACATGGAAGATCACAATGTATCTAGATTTAGGGAGAGGTCTCAATGCCACCTCATTATGTTCTAGAAGACCACATCACACCTAAGGAATGTAGCCTATAACGGCCAAATATTCTCTAACAAAATCCTAACAAACCGGGGACCATGTAACAAAATCCTAACGCACTATTCATACTCATAAGCCAATGTTCCTAAGCCTTGAGCTTCTTTGTTCAAGCAATTGCCTGATGCTTTTGAGTTTTAGCATCATCAATTGGCATCGTATGTGGGAATCAATTTTCATCATTTCCCTTGAAATCTTTCTTCTTCGTTTTCTTGATGCTCTTAACTCGAAGCATGAGCCAAATTATAGAAAACCACCAAAGGGTTCCTCCTCCTCCACTAAATCCCCTAGTAGTGAACCCATTTCCTAGAGACAAAGTAGAAACCTATCAATAAACACTCCTCTGTTTCCTCAGGAGAAATAAGGAGTTAGTCACGCTCATTCAAGCCCAAAGTCCTCAACATGTATAGAAAAATCCTCCTCCACCAATTCAAAATCCTCTAAATTCTTTGAACCCCCTAAATCCTTTGAATGACGTTACAGAGGATCATCGTAGACAATCTGGGGACAACGTCAGATGTCAACTGTAGAAGGAAGAAATCAGAGATAAGGCACAAAGTATAATTGCAAGGGAGAAGAGAAGAAATCGACAACCTCCTCCACAGTAGAACACCATGGATCAATTTGGGAAGAATATTTTAGAGAAATCTAGTATGAGTTGGGAATCGTGAAGAAGGTCATGAAAAACCAAATTCTAGTCACTATGAAGGCTCTGGTTTAGCAAGCTGAGCTGCCCTTCACAATGAAGGTGTTGCATTTTTCTCTTTCACCTAAATTCAAAATGCTACAGATCGACACATTCAATGGTACCAAGGATCCCATAGACCATCTCAATTCGTACAAAAACTAGATGGAGCTCCATGTGTACCAAGACCTTGTCCGTTATCGAGGATTCATCATCACACTAAGGGCTCAACTCTTACTTGGTTCAACAGATTGGCATCAGATTCAATCTCGTCCTTTAGAGAGCTTGCAGTGCCGTCTATCTCTTATTTAATTGGGGCGAGGATGTATATGAAGCCCACCTACCACCTGCTGACTATTAAATAAGAACTTGGTGAGTCCTTGAGGAGCTATATGAAGGGGTTCAACCAAGAATCTCTTAGAGTAGATAGGCTGGATGAGAAGGTCGCCTTGACAATCTTTATAACTGATCTAGGTCTCCAATCCGAGGACCTCATATTCTCTATTTCCAAAAAAAATCATGCTATTATGGTTGAGGTGCTATCAAAGGTTAATAAGTACATTAATGGGGAGAAGGCTATCCTTTTATCCTTTTAAAGGGTTGCTCATTAGCCACCCCCGAGCAGCACTCAAACAAAAAGAGGAAGTAGTCCAACCCTAGAAGAAACCATGAATGAGACTAGTCACTAAGAAGAGGGGTGACTTAAGAGATCGTTTGGAACCCCTATAGCCTAATTTGCAACCTCGGTACGCACTTGAGCGATTCACTCTACTCAATGCCTTAGTAGCTGAGGGATTACATCAGGTTCAAATGAATGGTATGCCAAGTAATGAGCATAGAATAGTGCATATCATGTATCTCATTTGCACCCATTTATTCTTGGTTTTGTGGTGAAAAGTGGGGGGAGATGTTTTTAAACTCACATTTAACGGAGATTCGTGTGATTATAGGTAAAGAGCAGATGAGGGCATGTATTAATCCTCCCATCAAGTTCTTAAAGGCAATGGAAAATAAGGGAAGGCTTAATGGATGGCTCGGGACATCAAGAGAACAAGAAAATTCCAAAACAGGAGAAAACCTACCAGTAGAAGTCAGCAGAAACCTATCGGTAGAAGTCAGTAGAAACCTATTGGTAGGAAAAGTGCATTGGAATTCTTCTACTACAACCCCTGCCACAAACCTACCGGTAGAAAATGCTTACTGGAAAAAACCTACCGGTAGGTTTTTGTCGTTCTACTAGTAGGTTTTGCCCATAAATGCTAGAAGGCTGCAAACATGACTCCACTTGCTTTGGGGGCCCACCTCTTGTCATCCCAAACATACCCTGACATCTTTGACACACCATGATGGTCTCTTACTCTCTAAAGTTTTTTTTTGGAAGAGAAAAACATGGGAGAGGTATGAGAGAGAAGAGGAGTGGTTGGTGAGGCATAGAAGGTGGACGCTTGGTTGTTCTTGCTTGTTGAAGTGTACAATCTCTTCCTAGTCATTACACTGACCATGAAAGGGAATGGATGAATTTGAACGAAATCTTACACCATTATTCAGTTTTTCATGCTTTTAGAGAGAGAAGCTCCATGGTAAAAGATGAAGTTATAGAGAGAGAAAGTTGGGTTTTTACATTTCCTTCACCGTTTTCATTGTAGTAAGCTTTATTCTTCTTGTAATCTTTTCCTCTTTCACTTTAAACTATTTTATTCAAGTTGTAATCAAGCTAAGTGAAGTATTTTAGCATTTCCATTTCTACATTTGGATATTTTCCTCTTCAAGCTTTGTAATTTGGTTCTGAATGACTTTACTCTTGTAGTTTAAACCTTTTATTGCATCAATAAAAGTTCATGCTTCATTTCATTACCATGTCTCTTTACCTTATGTTGGTTCTTTCTTGTAATATGAGTAGCTAGACTTTTAGTTGGCTAATTCAAGGGAAATTTCCTCTTACGTATGTGAAATTGACTCTCTTTCATTCTTCCTCGTAGTGTAGAGTGTTTGGTTTGACTAGATTGAGTGCAGACGTGGTTGTGGGCTCTTGATATACAATAGACTTGTCACGGGGTATGCTTGTGTCCAACACATCCACATTAGTCCCTCACTTCCTACGAATCAATCAAACACTGAGACACCATTGGATGAATGAATTGAGTCAATTTTACATTTCCATTGAAATGACCTCTATGGATTAGCCAACCTTGCTTTCTTACATTTTTATCAAAACACAACTCACCAAAACACAATTCACAAGATTTTCCAATTTTCATTTCTTTACAAATCACCATTTGAAAAAATTTGACCTTTCATTCCTTGAGGAGATGACATTGGAATACCCATTCCAAGTAAAACACAACATTGCAAGTCTCTCTACATTTGGGGAACACTTTTGTACA